GAATCATATGGGTGCGGCATACATATTTGTCTTGATGTTCTAAGTAGCCTGCAAAGAGCGGATAAACTGGCTGCTACACTATCGTTAATGTGTTAAACATTGGGCCTATTTCTTCTGTTAATGAGAAACTGCGTTTTGAGTTTTTGTTATTGGACTGTTTTATGAACGATGAGTTCAGGTGCGTTAACATACTTGAAAGAGTTTGACACAAGTGCACAACGACATAATCTTCCTGTCATGGTCTTGTGCGATTGGCTAAATCGTTTGTATCGAACGAATGCTGCTCCGATTGTGATGCTCCGATCGCTGGGTCTTGCTGCATTCAATAAATTATCTCCAGTAAAGGTGCGTTAAAATTTCGATTTCCGTCTACCTGTGTTTTCGTTACGGTCGTTCAGGGTAACAGTTTATTTCATTCCAAAACTATGACACACCCCCTTGCTTATATACGGTAACGACCAGTGCAGATGTTACAGGACTAACAGTTGTCTGAGTAAGAGGTAGCGCCAGATACTAGTTATAGAAGTGAATTGTTTCTATTGGATAACTGCTGTTTTACGCCGCAGTTCGCGTTGCGAAAGTTATCACAAGAATGCTGAGTTGTGGGCAAAACTTTCGCCCCAGCCGGGATTCGTACCCGGATCTCTTGCTTTCCGAGCGATTGTGCTATCAGTTAGTCTTGTAATAGAAGTGAATAGTTTTACAGATTATATGTCGAAGGAGCAGTAAAGCATCGTAAATGAAATGAGAAATTCGTGGCCTACCAAGTAACCTGTCTCTCTTTCGATGCCGTAGCTTAGCTAATGATGACGAGAGTGGCCTTTTCACGTGACCCACACGCACCACCACTAGTCGGACGCGTAAACCAAGGACCCCAACGCCGAGTACGGAACAGTAACCTGGAAGGTCAACTAAATTGCTCTAATTGTCAATAATGTAGACAAATGGATGGGCCCGCAGGGTCAACCCTGCGTTGCGCAAAGAACAACGAGGGGGTCGTATTCAGCCGACCGAAAAGGGAGGGGGTCGTATCCACAGACGGGCTGCAAGACGGCTTGAAAAGTGCAGTGTCCGGGAGTGCACTTTCAGCCTCTAATGTTCTCCAGGAGCTCTGCACGCTGTCGGAGAGTCACACAGACATGAGCTCCATTAAAGCATGCAGAGCACTATAAGTCTCACCATCAGCTTATTATCCTTAATCGACGCTATCCGGACGGCGCTTTTGCTCCGCGGCATAGATCAAGAGTACAATAGACAATAGCCAAAAACTTTGTTACAGTGTAGTGCAAAAACATGGTCTGTCTTCGAT